TGAGTTAAGACAATATAGTATAGGTTTGTAGGGTTATTCTATCTTACCCTGCGGGATTGGATTAGCAAATTTTTCTTACTCAGGATACATACTACGAAAAAGGTAAAATATTGCCTATTTACACATACTCAAACGTCGTCTATAGAACTCGAATTTGAATAAGTCACATCCAATTATCTCTTAATAAGATTTATATTTTAATCTATTTCTATTTGTAATATAGAAATAAGTGCTCATAGATATTACTTTGGATTTTTTAAGTTTGAATTATATTTTACTAGAAATCTTTCAAACAAAAGAATATTTTCTTTATCTAGAATAATGATACATCAATTGAACATGATATATCATCTATAATTGCTTCAATCGATACAAAAGTATCATCATTATTCAGTCAATTGCTTTCTACTAATCTATTATTATCAATAAAATCTAATTCTGATCAAACACTTTTTCTTCATAAACCAAATCGTCTTGTTTATAGTAAAAAACTTGATTCGAATGATAATAATCATCTTATTAAACCAATTAATTTTGAACATGAAACAAAATGTTTAAATATATTACAAACAAATATTGATCAACATATTGAAAAACAAAGAACAATACTCGATACAATTTCACATCAGTTTAAAAATGTTATGATTGTCTAATATATTTTTATATAAATATGTGCACATATGAAAAAAAAAAAAATGACTAGTCCTATGTAAATATATTTGATTTTAGATTGTAAAAAGAAAAAAAGAATATTATGGCTGAAAAATTAAATGATTTCGCTAGTCGATTATCTAAAGGAGCACCAAAAGGATTAGGTTTAGGTGTTAAATTACTTGTTGGAGCATCGGCAGCTATTTATGGTGTCTATCGATCTATGTTTACTGGTAATAATAAGAAATTAAGAATTAATTATAATTGAATTCATTTTTTGCTTACAGTTGAAGGTGGCCATCGTGCAATTATTTTCAATCGTATAGGTGGTGTTGATCTGAATACAATTTATACTGAAGGATTACACTTTAGGTAATAGATTAATGATTTGATTTGAATAATTTCATGAAGTGTTGCTTTTGATTAATAGAAATGTAGAATTGTCAATAGTGGATAAAGAATCAAGGACAACTATGTCTTTTGAATCTGAAGAACTTACTTTGTGTAAACAATAAAATAAGAAAAAAAAATCCATGCCGTTCTCTTTCCTCTTCAAAAAAATAAAATTTTTGACTTTCCTCTTAAAAGTTTTAATATTTGAAGGCATATGCTAATGCTGTAATTTTTATTTAAATAACATATCCTTTAAAAATTCTTTCATATAGAGTTCCATGGTTTCAATATCCAATTTTATATGATATTCGTGCTCGACCTCGTATCATTAAATCACCAACAGGCAGCAAAGGTTAATAATTTCTATTATGGTTTTTTTTATCATTCTTTTTTTTTGAAATTTCTAGATTTACAAATGGTTACAATTGGTTTGTTTTCTCTTAAAAATATATTCTTTTATATTATAGTAAATTCTTTTGTTTAGCTCTTCGTGTTTTAGCTCGACCAGATCAATCAAAATTACCAAAATTATATCAATCATTAGGTTTAGATTGGGATGAACGTGTATTACCATCGATATGTAATGAAGTATTAAAAGGTGTTGTTGCAAAATTTAATGCATCACAATTAATAACACAACGGCAACAAGTATCAAATTTAATTCGTCTTGATCTTATTGAACGAGCTAAAGATTTTGATATATTACTTGATGATGTATCAATAACGGAACTTAGTTTTAGTCAACAATATTCTGCTGCTGTTGAAGCTAAACAAGTTGCTCAACAAGAAGCACAACGAGCCGTATTTACTGTAGAACAAGCTAAACAAGAACGACAACAAAAAATTGTTTTAGCTGAAGGTGATGCTGAATCAGCTAAACTTGTATGTATAATTACTAGATGATAGAAGAAAAGATGAAATTTTTTGTTATTATTTTAGATTGGTAATGCTATTAGTAAAAATCCCGGTTATTTAAAATTACGTAGAATTCGTGCTGCACAAAATATAGCAAAAACAGTACGTACAAAAAACTGTTCGTTTTTTTAAACATATTTATTTATTTTTAGCTTTCGCTAAGTACTAATCGTGCATTTCTTGATGCTCAAGCTTTGATGATCAATATTGCCGATCCAAAATTTGATGAATCAACTAAAGAGCTCGATCGCAAACGTCGATAGTTTATCAATTGTTGTCTATTTCTTTTTGCTAGAAGCAATGAACGATTTCGCCTTTGTTTTTTCTTTTCATAACAACACAAAAAAAAAGATATTACTGTGTTATTTGATACATATTAAATCATGTTTTTCATCTATCATTAATATGTAGATTATGAAACATAGAGCAGCTCGTCGACGAACATATCCACAAATCCGCGAAACAACAACTGTTATGATGAGTAAATCACAACCTCATCATAAAGTAAATAAGAAGAAAAGCGATGAGTTTTTTTTTTTTTACTTAAAATTTTCAATTAGATCAATCGATCATATCGGCCAACATCATTGCAAGAACAAACAATTGAAAAACAACAAAAAAGATTTGACAGTAAGGTTAAGTCTTTGTAATAATTCGATATTAAGATTAATTATTTTATTTTTAGCTGTTAATCAAATATTAGAAAAAGTATCAAGGTAGAAAATATAGTGTATAGGAAAAGATTTAAATTTTTTTATCGATTAATTTAGTAAGCCAATGAATACTACATTAAATCAAAATAACAGTAATAGTTCAACTCAAAATGGCGATGATGATGGATCTGAAGGTATAATTAATTTGTTTTCATTTCATAAGAAACAATACTCTGGGGTGGTCTACTTACATAAATAACAGTTGAGCGTAACTGGCAAACATTATCAGCATACTCTACTAGTCTTCACTAGAGCATAGCTGAGCGATAAATGATTTCATCTATTATTGTGTACTTATAACAGTGTAACGAAACTGACTGGAACTTATAGCGCTTCGGACCCTCGGTTATTGTGTTTGAGTTCATAGAAGAAAATTCAAAATCAACCAATGAAAAGAAAAGAAAAGAAGCTAGAAGAGTAAAGATTTAAGAGACTTTACTTATCTTTCGAAACGTTCTTTATATATTAAAATTATGGACATTGGAGCCATGAGCCTTAAGTAGGCTCTATTTAATATAAAAATTTTTTATTACTGTTTAATTTTCATTTTCTTCTGATAGATAATCCATTGTTACATGGTCAGTGCACCTTCTATCTACTATTTACTCTTCTCCGATAAGCGCAAAGGATCCGAAATCAAAATGCTCGGGTAGACTCGAACATTTTTTTGTATAAATAGATTTAGAAAGCGTTTTTGAGAAAACATTGAGTTTAGTGCAAAGTAAATATTTGAGCATACATCAGCAACGACTCGACGTGAAGACTCCTCCTTACACGTACAGCAGAACTGTACGAGAAATGTGAGCTGAATTAACTAGAAGTTGCTAAAATTTTCCTTTACCTTCGGCAACTAAGATTACATACCTATTGTTTTCGAAACTTCTCTTATTTTTAACTTCGGAAAAAAGATCTTATAAAAAATGTTGAATCTATCCTAAAATCTAAACGTTTCGCCACTGATGATAGGAATGAATTACTTTCAATTAATAGATCGTTAAATGAATAAATCGCTTGACATTCTTACTCAAATTGTATTTAGTGGTATATCTCAAAGTTGAGATTTATACCGCTTGATCCAAAATGAAATTCTTCGAGTGGAATTTTATTTCTTTGTTAAATCTGCGACTAATTGAAATATCTGTAGGCATGTCGCAGCAACAAGTCTCTTGGTCCCGATGGTTACGTTACCCACTTCTTTTTGCTGATATTCCTCGCCGTTGTATTGCATCGGTTTTGTCCAAGAAGAAAACGCTCTTTAAAAAGTCTCCATTAGGAATGGCAAAGAAAGCGCTTCTTTCTCTAAGATTTCCATGGCCATCAAGCAATAATGGTCTTGGTAAGCATCTTGCAGTGTTAGTATGGGTTTTCATTTAAAAAAGTATATATACGAGGCAACGGAAACAAATATTATTTAGTTGTAAACAACTAATTTTCGAATTAAAAAGTAGAATAGTTGATAATTTAATAGAATGAAATATTATTTTAGTTTCCATTGTTGGATATCTCAAGGCTAAACCAATTAAATTTCAAACGTATGCATTATTTTAACAATTTAAATCTTTTATAATCGATTTCTTTTCTAAATAGACTTGATGACTTACTTAAAAATTTTCCATCTGTGCGTGCAGCACTTTTTAAAAAGTATGTTTTACTTATGATAATTTCTTTTTGCATGCTTAATATTCGAATTAAACTTTCAGACGAACAACTACACCAGCACCTACATCAACTGAAGTGCGATTGATGTTTTTTTTTCTTCTTTATTTCAATAAATCTACTTTTTTCATTTTCATAGACTATTACATCACATTTATCATTCCTACAACTAACTCCACAATCAACAATATCTCGCATTCCATCGACAAAATCAGCTTGGCGTACACGTCGAACATATGGTATATGATTTACTCTTTGTTTTTGGCCATTTTTGATTTTCGAAGAGAGTACAATTGATTCACAAGAAATTTTTACCACAGATTGAGTATCCAGAATGAGATTGCACATGTTCGAGAAAAATATTCTAAACAAGGTTTTTTAGTGGAGTACATTGGGTTCGTCTACAACCTTCGTTGCAAGGATTTACAAATCCAATAGGAAGGTAAAAAAATAGAAGGGCGTTTGTAATTGGGCCCGATATGGTCCTATGGAAAACTTTGTTTAATATAGGTTTTCTCCGAACACATATCTATTTTTCTTAGGTACTCTATTTGTCCTAAAAACTTCATTGGAATCTCTTAGAGAACTAGATATAATCATTAAAAGATGGGAATACCTTTAAAAGAAAGAAGCAAACAACTATCCTAAGAATATTCTTCTATAAATCATATTTAGCTTTAACTGAAGATGAACTTGCTCTTGTTCAAACAATATTAGTTGGTGATGAAAATGAATCATTTGGATCTATTGGTGATCAACCTATAACTCGTAAAGATATTCGTACACTTCGTGGTCTTACATGGCTTAATGATGAAGTAAGAAAAAAATAATAATATTTCAATATAAAAGTAAAAATAAATGATTTATTTTTGATTAGGTTGTCAATTTCTATTTGGCACTTGTAGCACGTGAAAGTGGTACACCAGGAAATTTACATGTATATGCATTTAGTACGTTTTTTTATTCGAAATTATCTAAAGATGGACCAACACATACAAGTTGGGATCGATGGATGAGACGAGGAAATGTAGCGTTTTTTGATTATGATCTTATTCTTATACCTATTCATCAAGGAAATCACTGGATATTAACGGTAGAAAAAAAAAAGATAATATTCAAATTGAATTTGATTCTTTTTTTTTTTTGGTTTTTGTTTAGACAATTGATTTTCGTTCTCGTTGTATTGGATATTATGATTCATTAGGTGGTACAGATGATATGTGTTTAGGTCGTATTTATGCATTTGTTGAACATATGTATGCAACAAAACGACAAATAACACCTATGCCTGATGGTTGGCGTGTACAACCAATGAATATGATACC